CTGGTTCTCCTTGGAGGTACTTAGAAAGATTGTTTTAGTCATAGAAAGAAATTAATTAAAAGTCTCTTATGCATATGAAAAGCATCAGAATCCACACCAAAAAGTACAAATGGGGCTTTATACATGGAAGTGAGTTTCTCTAAATGAGATTTTTCAGGAGTAAGTAAAATGAATTGCATTCTTTTAGTCAGTGACGGAGTAATAAAATTTTGATTAAAATCATAAGTTAATATTTAATTGAAAACCCATTATGTATGCAGCACTGTAAATAAGAATAAAACCAACAAAAGCCATTGTCAGCGTTACTTCCTCCTTGACATCTTAATCTTTTTTGTCAAAAACACTTTCCTCATTTACATTACTACAGTAGTTTTCACTAAGTTCCTCTGGCTTCACGTCTTGGTTTTCTCAAAGGGCAGCAGCGACAACATTCCCACCATCAGCTATTCCTTCCATAGCTCCATTTATGTTCCGTTTGAATTTTCCTTTCAGTGTCATCACTTTTCACTTATTTGCTTCACTTTCACCTCTGTTGGTCAGTTCCCTCTTTTGATTATTTGTTTTTATAAAATATCATGGAGGTTTATCCTGTGGAGACACAGAAATAGCACAGAGACACACTTTGCTGTCTGCATGAACTGGGTAACAAATACAGTGACCAATGACTGGCAGAATTTGGAAAAAGTGACATGATTGGCCACTGATTATGATTGCATCTGTTCTTTACATAGTGATTTGTGGACTGAAGAGCTAACAGTGAATTTTATACCTTATGCAGTTACTCACGGTTAATATACCTTGGTAACTGAAATTTTAACTGTGTTTCTGAGAGACTGGTGTTATCTATCTAAACCATGGTAACTGAAATCCATACATATAGGCAACATCTTTAAAGCATTGAAATAAATTGTCAACCTAGAATTCTTATCCAGTCAAAATATCTTTCAAAAACATAGGTGAAATAAAAACTCTTCAGACATACAAAGGTGAAAGAATTCAACACCAGCAAACTTCAAGACAATAGATTTTAAAAGAAACCCATCAAGGAAAATGATGCTGGAGGGAAACCTGGATATAAACAAAGGAATGACAGCAGGTATTTCTTCATAAGGCTTGCAAGCCAGGAGACAATGGAAAAATATACTTAAAGCACTTGAGAAATACCAACTGTTAACCCAGAATTCTATAATATATGAAGATATCTTTAAAAAATTAAAGTAAAATAATGACTCTTATTTATAACTGAGAGAATTTATCTCCAGCATACTTGACTATAAGTAATGATACCAGATAGAAATTTGTATCTAAGAAAGAAATGAAGAGCAACAGAAAAGATCAATATGTAGGTAAATATATAAGATGGCTTTTTTTTCCTTCAGTTGCTTTAAGGACCACTGATTAATTGAGCAAAAATAATATCAGTGTATCAAGGAGGTGTATGGCATACAAGTGCTCACTTCGGCAGCATATATACTAAAATTGGAACTATACAGGGAAGATTAGCATAGCCCCTGTGCAAGGATGACATACAAATTCATGAAGTGTTCCATATTTTTTTTTACAGGAGCCCTGGTGGCACAGTGGAGCCCTGATGGCACAGTGGTTAAGAGCTCAGCTACTAACCAAAAGGTTGGCAGTTCA